GTGTGTGCTGTCGCAGAGTGACGAGTGTGTGTGTGTGTGTCCGGTGTGTGCTGTCGCAGAGTGACGAGTGTGTGTGTGTGTCCGGTGTGTGCTGTCGCAGAGTGACGAGTGTGTCCGGTGTGTGCTGTTGCAGCTGGGCGACAAGTGTGTGTGTGTGTGTCCAGCGTGCGCTCTCGCAGGGCGACGAGTGTGTGTGTGTGTGTGTGTGTGTGTGTGTGTGTGTGTCCGGCGTGCGCTCTCGCAGGGCGACGGATGTGTGTGTGTCCGGCGTGCGCTCTCGCAGGGTGACGAGTGTGTGTGTGTGTCCGGCGTGCGCTCTCGCAGGGTGACGAGTGTGTGTGTGTGTGTGTGCGTGTGTGTGCGCTCTCGCAGAGTGAGCCATGAGTGACCAGTGTTTGTGTCCGTAGTGTGCGGTCAGTCTCAAGTATACTTGTGGCTTAGAGTGTAGGGTGTTTTCAAAGTCTAGTGTGTCTCCAGTGGCTCGGTACCTGCCTCTGTCCAGCTCAGTCTCTGCACTGTTTTCTGTTCCTCTCTCCAGGTCTGACCTCTTCCGCCCTGTGCTTCTACATGAAACCAGAGCATCACTAAAGGCTTCACTACTTTTCTTGGTCTGTCCCTTATATCTTGGTAAATCTTTTCTGTACTCGTCTTCACAACACTTCTCCTTTTGCTCTAGGAAAGCAAAGCCGTCCATGTGGACTGAAAACCCTCTTTCCACTCTGTGACTTGCTCTGTCTGCACCCTTTTTCTCCATGAAATTAGCAGTCAATTGCACTGGAACTGGGTACACACAATAGGTCATCTTTAAACACAGACCACTAGAATATTAATCAAACTTAAATGTATGATCCACGGGTTGTTTTAATCAGAAGAATCGGAATTATTTAAAAATATTTTACTGACAAACTGCAAACATAAGACACTTCCATTTCTTTTTTTTCTTTAGGTCAGATGGATATACAGAACGTTTCACCCACAAGCTTTCAGATAGACAGTTCAGCAGAAGAGCCACTCTCACCGGTGTCTCCATCTTTCAACTCCAACTCCTCTACCATCTCTGAGTCCTACCCTGCTGTGAGACAAGTGGAGCCCTATGACCGGGACAGTGATACCCCCAGCTACAGACAGGCTCACCTCCCAGCCAGTGGGACCATCATCTCCACAGATAGTGACAGGCTGGGCCAGGACTCCACCAAAGACCAAGCCAGCAAGGCCAAAATGCAGAAACGAGACCAATCTGTCAGTCCTGGAACTCCACACAGAAAGCTGCACCCTGTGATAGGCGAATCGGAAGATCCTCATGATGCCATGCCTGCCAGCCCAAAGAAAGCTAGCAGGGCGAAGGCTGATTGCAAAGACGGATCACACAGCCCAAGGAAGGCCGAAGGAAGTTTCCCTCCAGAAAGCAAGGACATATCCGTCAGCGTGCAGAATGCGGGAAGCAAGGACAAGAAGTCTCGACGGCAGAAAGACAGGCCGAGGTCATCAAGTCCAGAGAAGTCTCCTAGGAAGGAACAGGAAGTGGTGAACAGAGAGCCACTGGTAAACAAGGGGGAACGTCGGAGGAGGAGCAGCCCAGCAAAGACGGATAAACAGGAGAAGCCAGCGGGGAATAAGGAGAGAAAACGCAGGGACGAAGAAGCTGAGCGAGAGACAAGCAGGAACGTGGTCGACGTGGCCAGGAACTCCAGTGAGCGCCACAGAAAGAGTGAAGAAGACACGCGGAAAGACCCCCACGCTCACAGATCCTGCTCGATCGCCAGCAGAGAAAAGACGCCGAAAGAAGTCGAGGACACAGGCCGGAGAGAAAGAGAGCCCAAGAGGAAAGGCGCAGATGAGGACAGCAAAAAAGACGCAGGGAGTTCTGGTGCTGTTGCAGAGGGCCTCACCAATGTAAACCTGAACAGTGGTAGAAAGGTTCCTATTACACCAGGGCCTTGGAAAGTCCCCAGCTCGGAGAAAGTTGAGAGATTCTCTGAAGCGAAGACTCAGTAACACTGAAGACAACAGATTAGAGTTTCTTCACAGCATCACTGCACAGCTGGGACAAAGGTTTTTTTTATTTTTCATTAAGTATTTAAGGGATCTGTATCCATTTTGAATAGTTTTTCTTCCTTTATTAACATAGCATAATGTGTTAGCATTTTGTCTTCTGTGTTTGTTGGAGCCTTTGAGTTTAATGAAATCGAGGCTACATTCAGATCTGTGAAACCCTGTCTAGCCAACAGTGAGAATCCCTTCATTGTCAACAAGGGATTTCTGTAGATGCTCATGGCTGCCTTTGTTCAGAAGTTTCATATGCAATGAAGGAGAAAGACATGTATATCTGTCATACATATATATCCACCAAATGAAGGATGATGTCGTAACTGTTGTGAAGATCTACTAACCTACAAACGGACATACACCAATGGATTGCAAGATGCTCTTCACAAAAGGATTTGTTTTGCTGCATGTATTTAATATGCTTTGTTTCTGTGTACCTTTGACACCCTGAGGGTTCCATCCAGTGTGTCTAAAATTCACAATCAGAGGCTGTAGATTGAATGTTTATCCATTGTGCACAAATCCAAACCGAATATACTAACTCATCTTTCAGCTTCCCAGCTAAATCAAGAAAATGATTTCACTCCATAATTGTGATGTCTCTTTAAAGGACCAGAAACTTGTGGTTAATTATATTGTTTACTATGTATATGATTAAGCATATCTAACGTATTGAAAAAATATACATATGTATTCTTACTGAGCCATTCTGCTGTATGTAGTGTTCCAACAGCCACTATTCTACCTGTTAATGGTGTTTGCTGTAACAGACTTAGTTCCTCTGACAAATGTGTGTACAACAAGCAAACTTTTTTTTAAGAAATATTGGTAGCTTGGATTGTATTTTATGAAATGTTTGTATCATTAAGCAATTAATTTCTTAAGCTACATTTGGGTAAAAATGGAGTTTGGCTCACCAGTGCATGACTGATATTTAGAGGTGCAGGTTGACATGAATTGAACTACTTAATTACACTCAACTCCTCATGGAATTTATACTTCCAAAGGTTTTTCAGATTTACAAGTCTGCTAAAATAGGGACTGTGCCACCCTTGAAGGCACCTGGTATGCTATCTGTATATCTTTAGCCAGTGTTGCTAGTTTATCATAGGTAGCATGTACAAATCAGGTCATATCGCCCAAATGAAACTTGGAAACCCTGAAATAGCCACCAGTTTAAGTGAATATTTAATTTGAAATAATTTCGGGTTATTTTTCAAGTACTGCGTTAGTGTGCTGAACCGTTTGTTAAATTACCTACAATCAATCAACTTTAAGAAACAAATGTTATTTAAACTTCTAAAATGACTTCAGTAAAAAGCCAGCTACTTAGCTTTCTAGAAGTGCATGACTTCAGACGTTTGGAAGTAGCAGAAAGGAATGTCCACTTGGCTTAGGGCATCTGATGATTTCTGTCCGGCCTCCCTGTCCTCTGTACCCAGGTGTCTTTGTTTCTCTGGTGCCAGCTTGCCCTGACTCTAACCCACATCATCAACCCCAAACCTACACCTAACCTCTGCCCTTTAGAATCCTCTCATGTTTTGAAGGAGGTTCCTAGTGGATATTCTTTTATGCTGAGTTCTGCAGTCCTGAGTGGAGTGATACCTCTTTGGGACAATCCTGAGAAATGTCACCTTGATGTCTCTTGCTCTGGTATTAGATATCCCTTTTCCCCTAATTCTCCATTGCCCATATCAGTGTCTGCATATAATAATGTGGCCTTGCATTGCTTGAACAAAGAAGACTTTTGGTCTCTACATTATGTGGTAGTTGTAAATGTTTATATATTGTACAGCACCTTTATAAATACTTCCAGAGTTCTCATTCAGAAAAAAATAAAGATCTGTAAATCGCTCCATTATTTTTTTAAGTGATTAAAAGAAAATGATTTAAAGTGGGGGGAAAAAAGGAAATTTATCTTATCTTCTGGTCATGGCATTCTGTTCATGCACTGTAAAAATAAAGTTTTACTTAAAATAGTTAACCTCTTCTGCCTGGTTTTATTCATAAATATGTTTAATATTTGTTGCATCTTTGCAAATACTACCCTGTTTTTATTCTAAATGTGAAAGCAAAGCTTTGAGAAGGCTGTTCCAAAATCAGGTTGATTTCACACTAAATGATCAATTTAGTATATGTTTGCTAAGCTGACATGTTTAAGAGTACTTTGATCAATAAATAGCAGATAAAAAACAGAACATGGTAGGACATGCGTAGATTCTGAGAAAGCTATGGGTATTTCATCATAAAAGATTTTAAGATATAATATACAACTCCTTAACCACAACTCTTACATGACAGGCATTCAGTTTGACAACAAGTGAATGGATATAAAAAAAGAACACGGATAAAATACAAAAACTCTGAAGAATTGTTGGACTAGACCTGTTCACAGAAATACAAAATAATGTTAGGATATATAAAGTAGCTAAAAGTCTTGAATTTCCATCAAGAGATTTTAAGATTGTGCTTAAACCTTTTTAGTCTTGAACAGAAAGGACTAAATTGGGATCCGATTCACTCAACTATATTCCTCATGGAACAAGTAATAGGTTTATTCCATGCTGAAAAGACAAGAAAGAAAACAATGTTTCGGCCATGAAACGTTTTCTTTCTTCTCTTTTCAGCATGGAATAAACCAATTACTTGTTCCTTTGCAGTCTACCCATGTTGACGCAGCTACCCACCTGAACTATATTCCTCTTGTATTCCTCTAAGGCACCATCAAAGTAATCCTTTCCACTTCAGAATTAATACCAGAAAAACCTGCAGGACCATGTAAGAAACCTGAAGGCACAAGCATATTTTGTGTGCTTGTATACCTTGTGCAGGGTCTGATAACTGTACTGGCACAGAAATCCTTAGTTCACAATGGAAGAAATGGACATTTCCACTGTTTTGTGCCTGAGGAACTCTGCAGGACATCCCGGCAATGTCAAACTAAGTACAAACTGTCCTCCCCTATTTCTACATTATTTAAAATTATATTTTTTGTACTTACATATTACCTCATCAAGGAAGGGGGGAAAACATAAGTTATGTGTTTAATCTTTTGCTGATTAATATTGACCATTCAAAAAACCTTTTAAACAATTAAACTTAGGTCTTCTTATTCAAGTCACACTCAGTGAAGAGTATAGTAAATTACTAATGCCACTGTACCTGCTTCTACAACTACACAACAATACAAAGATTAGTTCAGGCAAACATGGGTGTAAAAATATTTTCACTCAGATTCTTTATGTAGAAACAAGTCTACAGTGATCTGAAAGTAAAGTCACTTTGAGCTAACAATTTTTAAAAGTTATTTGTGTGGTACAAAATGTTGTCTTTGATCCTCATGAATCTATTGAAAGGGGAAATATGACCGAATTAGACCTAACCGGTAGATTCTGATGGATTAGCTTCAACTATCAGGCTCAAGACTTCGGATCAAGTTCATAAGGGTCTGTTCAATGGAAATGGAATACAAATGCTATTGGACAAACCTAGTTTTTTTCCAATCTCCATTTTTTGTCCTCGATGTTCAATACTTGCCAGCTGTGTAGATGAACAATTGACAGAAGCAAAGACTGATTGATTAGGCCTTAATCAATGATGTGAAAGCTAAAAGAAAGAGCACACATCTCCTCTACTATTTTTATAGGTTTTTAATTTTTACCTTAAAAATAATACAATTAAGAGGCATCCCACCATCCCGGTTCTTATTTAGTTTAAAGGGAGTTAAAATAAAAGCTGGGAAACAAATTCCTTTTGGAGGTCCTTCATTATATAAATGTATTGAAGTGTCCCCCATACCGTGGGACATATAAAGATGAAGCCTTCGGATGTACTGTAAAAGTTACGCGTTTTGATGTTTCCACTCAGTTGTCCCGCAGTTCCCGCAGGTCGAAGTCATTTCTGCCACAGTGGATGCTGCTGCTGCTCTAGCATTTCACGTTGCTCTAGGACTACTCTAGGGTCCCTTAATAACTCACCATTGTATCGGGGCTTTCAATGGTTCGAGAAGAAAGGCGTTTCAACGTGTCCAGATGCAGCTTTACACGCTGAATGGGTTTATAGCCAAGCTCCAAATTCGTCCGTACTCCAATATCTGCCGTGGGATTCAGTTTGATTCCACGTGTAAAACTGCACGTGGCTTTGGAAGCTATTTCGTTCCACAATCATTATAATAATAATCTCCTCGAACGGTTTACCTGTTAACTTGCCTGTCTGGACTCTGACTGCAATCTATTTGTTCTGCAGTGTTCTCAACGTCCACTTACTCAAGAAAGTCCAAGCCAGTGAACCTTTCGAGAGAAACTTCCCAGCCTAAGCAGCTTCTCCATATAGATTTATATCCATAAACGGCACAGTACTTTCAGAAGCACACGTAAAACCTCTTAACCACGCAGTTGTTTTTTTGCGCTAGAGCAACCTTCTCGATGAACCGCCCAACTTCATATATCCATTACGTCAGCCACAGAACAAGATGCGTGCGTTCGTGCACGCATCCCATTCGCCTCGCCACCATGCATTCACTACAAATCCCAAAAGCCTCCGCGAAGTACGCTTGCTCAATACGCTAAACTGCCTGTTAAAACTACAGCCTGTTGGCTTCTCAGTTGGATGGGAACTACACTTCCCAGTAGTTTCGCACATGCGTGTGTAAGGTTTCCAAGCCATTTAAATCTTGTTTGCAAAATGGCTTCGCAGGTCGGTGTGGTTCGCGTAAAAGTGGAAGAAAAGGTGAGAGACAGTCTGGATAAAACAGCCAAAGAGAAAAAGAAAAAGAAAAAAAGGGAGTGCTCGCCCTCCGCGGATAAGCGGGAGAGATCCGAGAAAGAAGCGAAAAAAGTCAAGCTGCATCACCACCATCAACATGTTCAACAACAGCTGCCCCAGCCGCAGTCACAACAACACATCGCTCAGCCCCGCTACGCCTCGGAGCAAGCACCCCTCCAGCAACATCACCACCACAGCGCCAAGAAGGAGCCGCTGTTCACCGGATCCCCGAGGATGGTGGTAACCCCGCACCAGGAGCACAAGCCTCTGCCGTCCGTGTTGCCGCAGGTGCCCACGGGGCTGTTCACCTTCACTCCGCTCAAACTGGCCAAGGCCAAGAGCCACTGCAAGGAGAAGCACGGCGACAAAGACCCCAGACTCAAACCCAAGAAGGAGAACAGCGAGAGCAACGTGAAGACGGCTCCGAGCAAGAAGAAGAAAGGTAACGAAGCCAGAGCAGGGGACCCATGCGCTGCCCCCTCGCTGGAAGGCGTCCCGGTGAACTTGGCTCCGCGCTGGCGCTGGCGCACTTGACACACGGCGGAGAGGCGCCGCTTGCTCCCGGCCGTGTGTCAGCTTTACTTTTCTTCGAGCACGTGTGAAATAAAACTGTCCGCTGCTTTAAACTCCTTTCGCGGTTTCCCTAACGCGTAAACAGAGTCAAGTGTGGTGCAACAGAAATTATGGTTACAGCGTGGTAGGAAAAAAAAAAGTAGGGTTATGGTCATAGATGCCACAGACCAGAGAGCGCCGAGTAGTACAAGGCAAGAAGATAGTAGAGCGGAGGTGAAATGTAAAAACGCTGTGCCAATCTAACGTATTTGCATAAATGTTTTGATAAATGCGTTTATGTTAAAGACGCAATAGCAGGAAAGTGCTATAACAGTGCTGTTTCAGAAGAGGGAAGTACCTCGCTCATTCAGCTTGACCAGCTGTTGGTATTGATCTTGGTAGTTTTGATCAAACTGCCTAGTATTACCGATTTAAGTGTGTTCTTATCTTTTGTTTTTGTTAAACGGTGCGCTCAAGGGATTAATGATATCAGGTGATGTGGCTCATTGCTGTGGGGAGCGAAATAATGTTTTGTGTAAAAAAAGGTCTATAGCACGTAAGATCAGAATAAAGGTGTCGAACGTGGAGGCCAAGCAGCCCATCTAACTGGATTGGTTCAAGTGATCCGAGAACCTCAAACCGCTGTGAAATATAATCCGTCGTCTGTTACACGGTTCTGTGAGCCCCATTCTCTGAAATAATTGCAGGTAGATAGATGATAACATGGGGGCCGATCAACACGGCTAGTGAACAGTAGGTCGACCTGCAAGCGTTCTTTAAAACATCTTCTCTGAAGGCAATTTCAGTCTTTATTGATCTGAGTTAGTGAACTGCGAAAGTTGTAAAAGAGCGTGAACAGTAATGTCTCTGTAGAAACGTCAGGGACTGTATATGTGATGCTGGTGCTGTATTTTTCAATTTTGCTGAACCCTTGAATTTAAACAATATGCGTTTACTTAGCTATTTCGATGTTCTTGTTACTTTGCGCTTTTCATATCTCCATTATATAATCTATATATAATGCTTCTTTTTTGTTTAATCTATTGACTAGGTGAATCGTTGTTTCATTGTTTTGGCCTTTATTGCTTAAGGATACAGTTGGGTGCAGTGAAAAGTATGAGGTCAAAGCTGTACTGCATAGCGCAGGAATATAGCAAAGCAATGAGATTTTCAGTGGGCACAACGATAACATACGCAGCAATTATAGCAAATGAGCTGAAGGACTGCAATGCAATACACCCGAGTAGCTGATTGTAATGAATATACAACAAGTACCTGCTTAACTTGGTGTGGCATTAGGGTCTACACACAACAGTCTCGTTGGAAATGAAAATGATGTGTAGACGTACATTGTTAGGTCAGGAATGTAAATCTGATGACGTGGTTGGATGACTGGAGATCAGTCTGGATTTCTGTTAACCCATTTCCGTTCAAGTCATGGCATGATAAAAACACAAGAACTACAAACTAGAAGGCACAGGTGGAAGCTACATGGAAGTGCGTTTAAAGGCGACGATAGCTGGCACTTCTTTACCCAGAGGGTTGCCGGAGTATGGATCCAGCTGTCCTGCCATACGGTTGAAACGTGTCTGAGAAGCGGCTGGACGCGATTCTGGATCAGTTAACTACGGGCTACCAAATGGGCTGCATGGCCACCTCTCGTTGGTAACCTCTTTCCCTCTGTTATTGTTGTAACCGTTTTCTTTCCTCCCTCCCGTTCAGAGGCGCGTGATGAGAACGGCAAAACGCCGCCAGCAGACGAGTACCTGCTGAAGAAGATGAAGAAGAAGAAGAAGAAAAAGCACCGGGAGGACGAGCGCGGTAAGCGGCTCAAGATGTACAACAAGGAGGTCCAGACGGTGTGTGCGGGCCTGACCGGGCTCGCCCCCGATGCTGAGGTGCCTCAGGGGCTGCCCGACTCCGCCATCAAGTACCTCAAAGACGAGCGGCTGTGCCAGCCGGGCCTGGGGACGGATGAGTACCGCACGCCCAACGGGGTGCAGATCCCCTTCCTCTCGCACCACGACCACTTCATCCGCAGCACCTGCCTCCAGACCGGCACCAAGTACGGCCGCTTCATCCATGAGGAGCGCCAGCCCAACGGGGGCGCCGAGGTCCTCCACGCCTACATGGACGAGCTGTCCTTCCTGCCGCCGGCCGAGATGGAGCGCTTCGCCGAGGAGTTCCTGCGCCTCACGTTCAGCGAGAGCGAGAAGAACGCCGCCCGCTATGCGCTGGCTGTGGTGCACGGCGCCGCGGCCTACCTGCCCGACTTCCTTGACTACTTTGCCTTCAACTTCCCCAGCACGCCGGTCAAAATAGAGATCCTGGGAAAGAAGGATATTGAGACCACCACTATCTCCAACTTCCACTCTCAGGTGAGCGTGATGCTCTTCTGCTCTTAGCCATAATGATTAACTGCGTCTTATCCTAACCAAGGTAATAGTGCCCTTGTGTTATGTCCTGGAACTGACCTTCCTGCAGTAGTCTTTAGCGAGAGAGGTAAAAAGTTAAAGATGTACAACCGGGAGGTCCAGGCGTCCATGTGTAATCAGATTATTATTGTTAATGAGACTTTGGATTGGAGTCTATGATTTAGACTTAAATTGGACTCATTCAGAGTTTGTTGGCTCATTAAGTCACAGACTCTACCTCCTGTGACTCTAGGATTCAGACACTAGAACAGATCTTCTCTGTTTTATATTCCATAAAGTTGAAGTTAATTTTTATGCCTCTAAAAGACTGTCTAGGAAGACAGAGTGACTGTTTTAGAAAGACTCTAGATTACTGAAGTTTAAGCACTGTGCTTTTTCACCTCTTGGAGAGCCATGGGATCGATGGAAGAAAGTTGTGTGTTTGTTGTCAGGTTTTCTGCACATATGGATTTTGGCGACATCTGCATAGAAATGAGAACTGTTATAATAATGGCAAGCAGTAAGTAACATGTAGATATTAGAAAGAATGGGACCAACTCCAGAACCTTGCAGAACACCAGCTTGTTATAAAGAGTGAACAATGCAAATTAGAACAAATTGTTTCCTGTTCTTTAAATGGGATTTAAGACACTGCAAGAAACCTCAGAATAACATGGGCAACCATAATACCAGTGTGTTCTAAATTGCTAATGCTTAATTATGTATTAAGGGAAAAACTTGATTTATCCATGAATGCAGGGAAACAGAGAGCGCTACACATAATTATGAGAAAAATGATCTGTGCAGGTTAGCCACCAAAGTATTCTTAACTGATTCTTTCCATCATTATACAGTTTCAAAAATCTTAGAAGATGATAAGAAAACTCCAGCACCAAACAAAGGAGACTCTAGCATTCAGGAAAAGCACCAAAGTGCAGAACGTAATCTGATACACAGCTCTCTTCAAAAGATTGTCAAACTCTCAGATCTGTTTCGGGTGTCAGTTTCAATTTCTGGAGTGCCTAGTGGCTTCTGTTTTTTTTTTCCCCCCTCCAGAATACTCAGTTGATCAATTTACCTAATAATGTTCTTTGTAAATAATTATAAAAAGATTTTAAGAAATATTCTATAAATATCAATGTTCACTCCATTAAAGATGAATGTATCTCTAAACACTGTGTAACCATTCATTACTTTTATGTAGTTAATTGAACAATGGGTCATTTGAAACACAGAAGACACTGGCTAGGGTAGGTACTGAGTCTGACACCCCTGGTCTTAATAAACCATGTGCAGTCGTTTCTCAATTACATCCATTCTGTTTGAGATTCAATCACCTGGACTCTTATCTGTCCAGGCCCCAGGGAGCTGAAATATTTGCCACAAATTAAGTCTGTATGTGAAGGCTGTTTTATAAGATTAATAATTAAAAAAAACGAAACAAATATGCCACTCATATTTAATCATTTATTTAAAAGGCTCATTATACAGAATAATCAGGTTGTGGGAATGTGTGATTTTGTTTCATTCAATGTTTTAAATGGCTCAACTCTGTCTTTAAGTTAGGGACTTAACTGTATACTGTTGATAATATTTACATTAATGTTAATGTGTACATAAAGATTGTTTTTAGAATATGTCAGCCGTATAGATATTCCTATAGGACTGGGTTGGTAAATTTGCTGAGAAGACATGAGCAAATCACAACACACAGAAAGCTGTCATCAGCATGCACTGACAAATGAGGAGTGGTATTGCAAACCCTGCTTTCTCTGGGCAGTTATTAGGTCTTAAAATGGGATTGGTTGCTTTTACTACAACGTGTGAAGACAATTGTGGGCAGTTGTCATCTCACCTGTGAAAAGAAAGTGTTTACACCAGATCCACAACAGTTACCTCATACTCATCCATTCATCTGTATTTGGCAGTAGGGGTTGTCCTGTGCAGCAATGTTTCCTTTGCTTTTGCTAAACCTGGGTGGTTATGCTTTCTTCAGGGTGTTAACGCCCTGAAAACGAATGGTGTTTGTGAATTGGAGGCAAAGGTCAGTAACAACGGTTTAGCAGTTTCTATTGGCAGAGTGACATAGTTCAGCTATACAATAGAGTCAGTTCCTGGCAAGCAACCAGTGCAAATCTACTCAGGAGTTCACATGAGTAATGTGTAAAGCATTATAGCTCTGTTTTACTGTGTTACCAAAGAACCTATACATTATTGACAGAAAGCTTATTGTGACATTGTTTATCGGCTTGGTTGATGTCTGGTGGAACCAAAGTTATCTTGTAACTGGAACAGGAGGGAAGGGGACAGGTGCAATGTGGAGAGATCACACACGTCTCTTGCATCTTCCCAATCCAGTCTCTTCAAATGCTGATTTTAAGAAAACAATACAACCAATGTATTGCTGCTCTGTGCACTCATCTGCTGTAAAAATCCTCCCTAGCACAGACATAGAGTATCATCTTTGTCTAGTTTTTGCTTATTCAATAAGCTTTAGTATTATTAATTTTGAGACCAAATTTAAATGTTGACAGTTCGGCATCCTTATTTCCCCATGGATGCCAGATCGTAAAGCTTTTAAAAATATTAGGAATATGAGGACTGTTGTAAATCAGCCACACGTTTCTTGCATCTTCCCAATCCAGTCTCTTCAAAAGCTGATTTTAAGAAAACAATACAACCAGTGTAGCAGTTCATTTGAACTTGTCTGAGCTGCCAGCAATTTATATAGCTGACGCAGAATTTCTTCAGAGATGGGTCATTTGGGGTTAGTCTCATGCAGTGTGGCTGCTTTAATATTTTCTGGATTCAAGATGGCAGCCTGAAATTAAAGGGTGCTCGGATTTCAGTCTTGCTGAAATAAAACTAGAGAACTATTGACGTGGACAGAAGAAGGCTCCACAGAGAATGTGTTGCTGTCATTTCACAACAAGCTCTTCTTTTCTGCTGCGTGTACTCTTCTAGCCTCCCATGGTGAATACCCACAGCAGGTGGCTGAGAGTAGCTGACAAAAAGGAGTATTTTCAAAACAGCCAAGATAATGTCAGTGTCAAAACAGGTCCCCTCTTTCCCCTCTTTCAGTGTGATTAATAACATTTCATGTTTTGAGATAATCATGATTCTTCATGTCTATGATCATCAGGTGATCCCACAGTTCTGATCACCACTGGAGGAATTTCTTAAGCCTTTTCTGATTGGGAGGTTTGTGACTGGGGTGTTGGCAGTTCTCCCATCTGATTGGTGTGTTGAAGCTGTAGGCAGGTATTAGCTTCATGAGGGGGATTCTCCATGTAGCCTTACTCCTTTTCACTTTCTCAGGTTTACTTGTCGTTTGTCAAGATTTCCTTTGAGAAATATGGAATTTTAGTATTTTAAAACTAGCTGTGCTATTTTAGGTTTGCGCCTTTTCTATTTGGCTTTAAGTGAATTACATTTATACCCATTTATACTGATGTGGGTTTTAAGGGAGCAATCTGTGTGAAGTGACTTGCTTGCATGTTTCTCCTTGGAATGAACCCACAACCTCACAGCTATGAGTCCAGAACCTTAACCACAGCTACACACTGCTATACATTTTTACTACTGTATTTACACAATGCAGTATTAGTGCTCTGCACTCTGTGTTTTTTAATGCCGTATCTACATTTTACAATATTAAACAAACGGTACAAATATTGAATTTACTTAATGCTTTTTTAGCACTCCCCACTGTATCCTGTTTACTTGATTTTCATGGCTTGCAACAGAGATACAGAATAGTGAACAGATGTAGTGCCCGGCCTGTTTGGCCTCAGACCTTGTGCTGAACACTTAACAGACGAGTCTTTGTGTTGTCCCTGCAGGTCAACCGCACATATTGCTCTGGCACCTACCGGGCCGGTCCGATGAGACAGATCAGCCTTGTTGGGGCTGTGGACGAAGAGGTGGGGGACTATTTCCCAGAGTTCCTCGACATGCTGGAAGAATCCCCCTTTCTAAAGGTCAGTCGTTCATGCCCTGACATAATTCCACTCATTGCAGAGAGATGTGAAATTCTGTGTTTGTTAGCATTTGTGCACAAGGCTATAAATGCAAAGAGTATGTGATGAGTAGAGTATGAAGAGCTATATATTTGTAAATTCAAATTCACATATTTGTGATGGCATGTCTTGTGCCTTGTGTGTAAATGTGTTCCTCCTTTGGCTGGGGGCAGATGACGTTGCCCTGGGGCAGCCTGTCCAGCCTGAAGCTGGACTGCCGCTCTCAGAGTGATGACGGTCCCATCATGTGGGTCAGGCCAGGGGAGCAGATGGTACCGACGGCAGACATGCCAAAGTCCCCCTTCAAACGGCGCAGGTAAGCCCACTGCCCCTCTCCAGGGCAGTGCCCTTTTTCCCTTCATGTATTAAAATCTCGTGCTTTTAATAAAAAGAGAGGTCAGGGTTCTTAGGGGCGGAGTGGTGGCTCTGTGGCTAAGGATCTGCGCCTGTGACTGGAAGGTTGTGGGTTAAAATCCTGCGGATCCTACTCCGTTGGGCCCCTGAGCAAGGCCCTTAACCCTAACTGCTCTAGGGGCGCCGTACAATGGCAAACCCTGCGCTCTGACCCCAAGCTTCTCTCCCTGTCTGTGTGTCTGTGTCTCCATGGAGAACAGCTGGGGTATGCGAAAAGACGAATTCCTAATGCAAGAAATTGTATAGGACTAATAAAGAAACATTATATAACATTATATTATCAAATACTTTTGAAAAAGTGAGTTACTTTGATTACCTTTTACAGGATCCCGTATTTCCTTACAGGGAAAGAAACCAATTGGAATAGTTAAATGCCACATTTTGAGATGCTGTTGTAAAAGTTCCCTTTCAAAATTTAATTTGACAAAATTGAGTCTTTTTTACTCTTTTTGCAATTAGTTCAGCATGGAAGAAGGCATTTAAGAAAGCAGCCTCCGGTTCGCTGGGCGACACCTGTTGTAGTTCTGAAGCTGAATGGTCGGTTCGTGTTTTTTCTCCCTCTCTGCAAAGGTCAATGAACGAGATCAAGAACCTGCACTACCTGCCTCGGACCAGCGAGCCGCGGGAGGTGCTGTTCGAGGACAGGACACGGGCCCACGCCGACCACGTGGGCCAGAGCTTCGACTGGCAGAGCACAGCGGCGGTGGGAGTGCTGAAGGCCGTGCAGTTTGGAGAATGGTGCGTCGAAGCCCCCCCCAGCTCCCCAGTCTGCTCTCACAGCACATGCAGTAAAAGCTGTACTAACCAGAGTGCTTCACTAAACTGGATTTTCTCCATAAGCCAATGCAAGGTCATCCTTCACTGTCTGGGGAAAATTTTGGGATCTAACCAGATTGCGCCTTGCATTGTTGTTGTTTTTCGGTAGTCCTGGATGCTGCTGAGAGAGTGCACTCATCTGCTGTAAAAATCCTCCCTAGCACAGACATAGAGTATCATCTTTGTCTAGTTTTTGCTTATTCAATAAGCTTTAGTATTATTAATTTTGAGACCATATTTAAATGTTGACAGTTCGGCATCCCTATTTCCCCATTGATGCCAGATCGTAAAGCTTTTAAAATATTAGGAATATGAGGACTGTTGTAAATCAGCCACTTTGGCTTTTACTAGTTTGGATGTGCTGCAGAGCTGAACAACATAAAATGGCAAAATAGATGTGGTGGAGTTTAAGGCACACCATGATTTGTATTACACTGGAAAAAAGCTTAAAGCATAAAAGTGTAGTTTTTGAATACCAGTATATGGTAAGTAACTGTAATAAATATTCAGACTTAATAAAAATAAAAATTAGAAGTGGGCATAAATACTTTCACTTGCTCTGTATTAATTTGAGTAAAGGCACATTGCTCTTTTTTTAATCTTTTATTTAAACCCAGTGTTCAGTTAAATCCTTCACCAATTCTACTAAATACTGCTGGTATTCCATATTCTCAAATTTCATTTTTTCTCAGAGATATTGTCCAGTGTTCATCACTAGCTAAAATCTTGATATAAATGTGTTTTTGGACTATAGAGCATCTCGAGTAATGGCGACACTAAATGTGTTTCACTGCATTTTACCAGTTTTTGCTATTCACATCACAAATCATAAGCATTTAAGTCAAATGGAAAGTCTGGGGGGCATTTTTGAGGAAGAGAGTGTACTTTGCACATTGGTAGATTTGGTAATTGAATTATTAACAATGTCATAAAAGCATTAGAACATAGGAAGCCCATTTACCATTTTTGCTGGTAAATAGACAGTTTAAGTTACAAATTGCCAGTTATTTTGTGCCATATATCCACCTAGTTCGGCATCACAAACTGTCTTTATGCCCCGGCTCTCTTTGACGATCCCTGTGTGCAGTTGGAAGTGCCTCTGTGATCTTCCCACCTTCGGACACATTATTCTTTTGATATACTGCAAGCTCTGTAATGATACACAGGAAGATTTGCAACTAGAACAGAGGTGTGCCCCTCACTGGCCTTGCCTCAGTTTTGCGGGCGACTCCTAAATCTCTCTATACAAGTGGGGCCATGGAGACAGACCTGAGCCAGTGCTGAGCCTTGTACAGACATTATTGCCTTTTGTACAATTGTCTGGACAGCAGTGCTCAACCTGCAGCTGGACTGAGCTTCTTTAGCATTCCATTCCCTGTAGGTTTTACTTTTCTTTTCTTGAAGTTTCAACTAGTGCATCCGGGGGGAACCCTCTTCTCTGTCTATAGAAATCCCTTTTTTCTTTTCTAGGTGCTTCTAATCTTAATTTTCCCATGCATTCCCATGCAGTTGGGCTGAAAGAGGATGGACTTGGTCAATAGCATTCTAGATTTTGAATAGCAGAATCAAGTCCCCAGCTAATCTTTTCTGTTCAGTTTTAAAGAGATTTGTTTCTCTTAATCTGAGTATCACGTCTCTTTCACTCTATGAATTCATCTGGTTACTCTTCTTTGCACTCTCTAGTGCAGCTCTTCTCTGTCTTTTAGTGTGACAACTAAAACTGAATACAATATTCCAAACAAATGTTTCTTATATTTATAGTTGCTTTGCATTATTTTGGAGCACGTTGTCAGAGCTCTCTTGGATTACAGCTCAGACTGTAATTTACCAGAGTTTTCCAGGTATTTCTGTTGTGCCCCTGCTCGTTATTAGACTTTATTACATTTAAATGGATCTTAGACCATTTACACACATTCTAAAATGAGCCTTCAACAAGCAATGGTGTTTTTTTTGTGTTTCAGGAGTGACCGACCTCGGATAACCAAAGATGTGGTCTGCTTCCATGCTGAAGACTTCAGCGAAGTGGTACAGAGACTTCAGTTAGACCTGTATGAGCCTCCAGTGTCTCAGGTAGGAGCCACAGAGAAAAGAGACAAAATTCTAGAAAAGTGTCTGTGCCAGGAATGTTTTGTAAAGTCTTCTGACTGAGATCATTATAAACAGGTTGGCTGCTGGTTGTTGAGCAAAAATAAAAATTTGTTCATGTCATTTAAGTCCTACTTTGACTTGCGTAGTAATGTAGTGGTGCATTTTAAATACTGAAGTATTTAAGAATTGGAAATGCCACCACAAAGAAGGCAAAGTCGAGTTTCTAGTTTGAGTCCTGATGGAGTTGTGTGCCGCCCATGATCAGGGGGCACCTTATTGACGCTGGAATCGCCCACATAGTGCCCGAGATCTGGAGGATTTTCATCAGACTGCTACATAGCAGCTCCCTGTCATGGGCCACAATCCCTCAAGGCTGCCTTGCAGAGAGCAGGCAGGCGCTTATTGGGAAGTCCCCGTTTCGCTTCGCAGATGAAAAAGAGGCGTCCAGCTCGATGACTCGGCCTAGGAGGAGAACGTGTTTGTCTTCGGATGGCAGAGGTCAGTACACAGCAGCGTTAGGATGCATAGCTCAGGGCGGCTTGATGTGATCTGAGAGATGATGTGATCCCAGGAATGGTAGTTTCGGAAACTAATGAGGAAGAGGAGTCTGAGCGAGATCCTGCTAGGGCTGCTTGTTTTTGGTGAACGACTTTAACGATCAGTTGCATGCTTCGCTTTCACAGTGTGTCCAATGGGTGGACGATGCCAAACTGAACCAGCTGCGAAGGGAAGGAATCCGCTACGCCAGGGTCCAGCTGTGCGACGACGACATTTACTTCATCCCACGCAACGTCATCCACCAGTTTAAAACTGTGTCTGCGGTCTGCAGCCTAGCCTGGCACATCCGTCTGAAACAGTACCACCCTGAGGCCGAGGGCTCGGCGAGTGCAGAGCGCGACCGGAACTGTTCAGAGTGCAGCGCTCCTAAGGACACGGACGCCAAAGCGCCCAGCTCGGCGCCGCAATCGGAGCCGGTGGGAGCTGAGGCACATAGGCAGCCTTTGTCAAACAAGCCCCTGTTTCAGAAGCCAGCGACACCACCCAGAGAGCCCAGGGCGGCCACCCAGTATGCCAAAATACCACCACCACCCCCCTCCCACCCGGAGCCAGCCAGATCCTTGGTCCCACAGACGGACACACTTCCTCAGAGCCCAGGCAGCCTATCAGGACACTGCAACTCCCAGCCTGACCCATCCCATTCTACCCAATAGCACCAACCTGTTACTGACGTCAGTTGTTTTTTTTAGGGGAAGTGGGTATTTAAAGAAAAGGCATTGATTCTGCATAATAATGACATACCACAGTGTCAAAAAGAAATGTGGGACTTTTTATATACAAGCTGATTGTATACATTTTTTAAACTAAATATAATGGATTGTTTTAAAAACAAGGACTTGGAACTACTTGTTTCCAGTTTATATAAACATAGAGACCATTAATATAGAAGTCAGTGAAATTTCGGTGTTTTATGTTCATGGAAAAAAAATCAGTAGCATATTTGAAAGACCTGAGGTTTTTTTAAAGGGTTTCATATTTTAATCTTTACAAAATACAAAAAATGTAATATCATTGTGCTGTTTGGTTTGTTTCCGTTGATAAACGGCATTTATTCTTTTAACCACGACTGCTCCCGTTAGTCCAAAGAAGGTGTTTTTTTTATATAAGTTTGGAGTTCCCAGTTTTTCTTTTTGAGGGGAGACCCAGTTTGGCATTACCCATTGCTTATTTACACCTTGGCACAGAGCGTCCACCCCTGCGCTGGGCAAGGAGGAGGAGGGGCGCAGAGGCTAATTCTGACGCACTCACCTGTGGAGGCGGTGGCCTGGCGGCAGGGTCAGTTCCTCCTTGGAACGTGGCATGTTCTTCCCCGATGTCACTGCAAATCCGCAGGAGTTGCTGATTTGCCGAGAGCAGAGAGAAGTCCCAGCTTTGCTGCCTTGCTTGAACCGCTGCACGACGGTCTACTGACGTGACCCAGAATTACAGATTTCTCAGTCATTGAGCTTGGACTGCACTCTTGGGAGCCTTCCATAGGCGTCTTTGCTAGCTGGGCATCTGTGGAAGGTGTCCATTCAGCTTGGTGCTGATACTCAGCCCTGCTGTCCACACCATATCTTCATCTCCCCCAGGCCGCTAGGAGGCAAAGCTGCAGTGACTGGAACAATAGGTGACTTTACTAAACAAGGTAGTGCATAAGGTGCAAAACCGAGTTCATCCGAAAGTCTTAAAGAGGAGTGAATCGCCCTTTCTGTCTCCTGCAGACATGAACTTGCCTGCTTGTAGTTTTCCCATTGAAGGATGTTGTTGCATATTCATTTCAGGAAGATGTTTTCTTTCAGGAGTAAAAACAAATTGAAGTTTTTGTTCCTGCAGAAAAAGTCTTTTTCTGTGTCACAATTGAGTTCAACACAAGTTAAAAGCACTAGTCGCAAAGCAGAAATGAGCCGGGGGGAAAAAGCTACTGAAGAGGCCCATCATGGTCTGTTTGGGAGTGTAACAGCAGTCATTGACATTGGTTGAGTTATTTTCTGAGCCCCCCACCCTTTCATTACAGACTTGAAATCACTTGCAAACATGAGCTTTTCCTTCAGTCTCAGATGTACCGTCTATAAAAGTTCTGTGAGCTTCAGAATTGTGCATTCTCCTCTTCGAGGAGTGAAGTTGAATGGAAGATGGTTTTCTTTCAGTTCTCAGTGATAAAAAATAGTGGTCCTTCTTGTACACCAAAACCTTTCAAAATAGCAGTCCTTGTTCTTTGCATTTTTAAATGAATGCAAATGAAGATTGCATAAAGAAGGGAACACCTCCTTTTCATCAGGGCAGTGATGAGACTGTTCTGTGGGCGTGGTCATGCAATGGATCACTTCTGAACCATCTGGTTGTTTTTAGGCTCGCAGTTTTTGGTCCTTTTGAAGTAACGTTTTAAGATTGTATTAATCTCTCAGGAACTCTGGGCACAAGTCCATCAGCTCCTTCCCAGCAGGGGAAGGGGGATTTTTTAAAGGGAAATAAGGATAGGGGAGGAGAATAAACTCTTTACAGTTCCTGTGTTCTGCGGTAATGAAAAGGTTTCCCTGCTGGGAACTTAATGATTGAACAGCGCCCTTGGTGGCGATAGGTTTGAAATTTCAGTCACGGCTGAGCTGTCTCGTCTCTAGCTTGATGCTTTTCTGTCTCAGGGGCTTGAGAAGGAGTGACCAGAAAGGGCTTTGATGTAAGGGTTTTCAATAATGTGTTGACATGCTTTAAAATGTGTATAAATACTGGGCCTGTGGACAATGGAGAGCACTTAGCATTGATTGAAATTGGAAAAATATAATTCTCCAGGTTGCTTAGAATGAAAACCTGGATTTTGTTTTGCCTTTATTCAAAAGCATTTTAAATATTTTGTTTTTCTCTGTAATATTTCATGAGCTTTAACATAGGCTGCACAAAGTATTGACTTCTCCCAGGCATTTTCCTTTTATATACCTTTTATATACCATTGTAAGTGTTTTTAAATGTTTCAAAAGTAAAAATTGTTTTCAGGTTTGATACCTGATGACCATGGGTGTCATGTATCGTATATTATCTTTAACCAAGGAAAACAATACTTTTTTGCACAATGTCAAGAGGGTTCTTGTAACCAGTGTGTTTTTATATTCTGTTCAAAGAGTTGGCAGCTAACATTTGTTCTCCAGTGTGTGGGGTCAGCAATAGTCTGCATTCAGTGTTTTATTCGAATAGGAAAATGTTCCCAAGGCAATTTTAATTAATCTAAATTTTCTTTATTGACCATCACCTAAAAGCAATGCAGAGTGTGCTACTGTTGATGTGTTCCTTTATAATGATGTCTTTTATAATGTATAGATGTTCTCCTTAGGTTAAGTCCTTTGCTTTCCTTTATTTTGTAAATGTACTTATCTCCACATGTTAAATAGTTTTCAGTGCACTGATAACATTGTGGACTTTTGGTACGTTTTCATTCAGCATAGCCACCAAGCTTATATGAAGAAAAATCTAATGGCTTTTGAAATTGAAAAGTGAGTGCAATTGTAGTTAGGAGTAATACTGTATGTGTGATTAGTCACTGTCGATTCGAGATTTCTGTATTGCTCATGCACTTTGTAGATGCTCATTTTAGGGCACTGTTTTATTTCACCAAAAGCGATACACTTAAGCAAGTGGTAAATACTTGCTGGTTGAACCCAGCTCTTGCGCCCTCAAAATTAATGCATCTTCAAAGCATGCCTCTTAGATAGTTACTGATGTCTGGATCTTTTTCAAAATGAAATTATTTCCTTGTCCACTGCCTTGCTTCCCAGAATGGTTTTGGTGACACTTTGGCACTCTGAAGGCTCATGAGGTTTCCGGCTTAGCCTTTTTTATTCCTCTGTAAAAACCCTGCCTTGTTTTAGAATAGAGATATTTATTTAGTGTTTTTTTTTAATCCCATGTCATTTTAAAAGTTAAAATACATAATGTTCAAAGGGAATCCAAACAATTGAACTCTACAAAATCTTTAGCCCCAGATAAGATTAAAAGGAATAGGCAGCTGTTCTGACTTTATTTTAGTTTGGTTTTCTAGACAGTACTGTCTCTTTCATGTGAGTTTGCCTGGAGAACAAGGCATGCTTTGTGTAACCGTATTTTCAATAATAGTTCTTGTTGATTTCTGTATAAAAAGGTTTTTCTATGTACTATTAAAAAGAAAAAGTAATGTGTAGTATGAGGATAATAGTTAACCTTTTTTGGATGAATATAGCCCTTTAACATTTACTAGAAAACTGTAAAAGTGTGAATCTTTTCAGCTCCTTTCTATGAAAAAAACCTCATGCAAGATGGAATGCATAGTCATTTTTCTTGTATTTTTTTAAATAAATCATTTTAAAAATGTGAATTCTGACTTTTTAAAGGCATCATAAAAAGACATTGGGATCAGAATGCATTCAAATATGATGCAGGCATTGTGATAAACAGAAAATGGAAGGAAGAACATCTGTGATATATTTTATTTGCCATTATTTATTACAGTAGACTGGATGAAGAAGGCTTGTACTAGACAGTAATGTGCACTGACTAAAATATGTTATAGTGGGAGACCAAATGAGCAAGTTTATTGATGATGTTTTAGTCGGCATAATATACTTAATCTTTTTAAAAATACATCCTTTCCTTCAAATGATTTTCATAACCTGTATCCTCCCTATTTCATATCCTTTACCCTTATAGAGACATATCTTACCCTTATAAAGACATCCTACCCAGTTGGAATTTTGAAACCCATCTAACAGTGTTGTAGTCTAGGACTTCCAACTCCAGCTGTTAGGATTGATAATCCAGTGGTTTTCTGTCTCCTCAACAAAGAGGTTCCCAATCCTGGTTTTAGGGATTTACGCCTGCTGATTACTGTTACACCTGAGCTCTTTGTTAAATAATTGAACTCTTAATAGGTTTAATTAGAGCTCTTTGTTTTTTATTCTTAGACATATTGGAGGATGCATTTTAAGTACAGCATTTCATAAGTAACTGAGCAGAAAAAAAAACTACTTGTTGGTACAAAAGGATTCATTTAAGTTAAGAGCTCAGCTAAAATGAAAGAACAATGAAGCTGCAGTAAAGGTGAGTCAGTCCGCAGAACCAGGATTGGGTACCCCTGCCTTGTGTTATAAGCAGTTCTTCACCTGGGAGCTGTCAAATTTATCCCTTTATGTTAAATGGGATCAGTTTATTCTTCCTCCACAGGCTCTGTGTATTCTGGAGCAGAGTTGGCAACCTCTTTGTCTGGTCTATAACTAGACTCCAGAAGCACAGCTTCAGCTTTTGAAGATCTCTTTAAATCAGCCATAGTTAAATATCTTGAATAATTTGCCCAATTAAGTTAATGAACGGTTCACTTTTCTCATTAAGAGCTGGGGTGGTACAAAAGCTCAAAGACACACTGGCTTTCCACAACAGCTGTGCACTGTGAGTTTCAAGTCTAGTTTCAATTCTGTAGCAGTAAAGAGACGGATAAAATGCATTATTGCACAGTAAATCAATACCGTGTTGGGTGTCGAGGGAATGTATAAAATTGTATGAAGGGGAGTGCTGTGGTTTTACAGCGCACTGCATATCCTTGCAGTTGGAAAGAATCAATGCATTGTTTAAGAAGATAAATATCCATATTTACATGTTTGGTTTTGTGCAGTATGTAGAACATGTACAGGAATAAGCCCTCATCTTTTTTTGGCTTAAGCATAGATGTAAACAAATGGTGACAAAGGGACACGGACTGTCAAAATCTTTCAGGATGCAAAATGGAGATGTACAGAAGTCCTGCTGTTTTTTTGCCTCGGATTTCTTGTCATCTCTGCCTGTAAACAAAGATAGCTCTGCAGTTTTGCGGTAGTTTATTACAAGTCTGTTGATTTACAAGCTTAGAGATGGATGTTTGGAGGGGAAAACAGTAGTACTAAGTTGGCTTGCAGTTCAGCACTATTTTTTACCTCAAAGTATTTCTGTATATTGTACAGTTGAAAATTAAGGCAACAATACATTCAAGTTAATGATGATGTACATAATTTATAAATAATAGCTCTTGCGGTCTCTTAAATGCTTTCTTCCCATTGCATTACTTTTGTATATTATAAAAGTTTGTAACTGCATCCAATTTAACAATATGTAAACATTAAAGCAAAAACTACATTCAGGTATTTTGTACAGTTTGGAAATATTTAAAGAGCCATTCATCCAGCCATTTTCTAAATGCCACTTCCACTTCAGGGTTGTAGGGGCGCCGGGGACTCCCAGCAAGCAAGGGGTGCAAGGCAGGGTACACCCGAGTCCCGGGACGGGATACCAGTCCATTGCAAGGCAAAGCAGCAATGCTAACGACTGCACCACCATGCTGCCATTCTTTCATCTGAACTTTTATTTCTATATTTTGAGACTTGTTTTCCTGTGTACTTGTTCAGGATCACTGGTTCATCACTTGGAGGAATCTAGGATGTGCAGATTCAGATTATCCTGGAGACGGGTGTTTGAAATAGGCTTTGAGTCCTAAATCCATGAAGAAAAGTATCTTGTGTAAAGTCAGACTACTGTGATAGATTACACTAGGCTAGCACTGCTAGACTGCTTGTATAATTATTGCTGTCTTTACAAGACCTAACAGTATTATCTCTATCTAGAACTGCAGGAAAGGAAACCCTTACATTCATGGGGAACCAACCAATGCCAATAACATGGGCTGCTTAGACAGCTGCAGCAAGAACAGTATTGTATTCATCGCACATGATTTTAGCAGGTGAGTGTGGTCGTCTTGCCTGAAGGATTTCTAGTCATTTTCTGAAATTGCAAAGTCAGGATCTTTTTCCAGTATCCTGATTTTTTTTTAAAAGGTAACAGCAATGAAAATTGAAGATATCCCAGACAGGAAGTCAGTCCTTGGTTTTCACCCTCTCCTGGTAGAGTCTTTTTCGAGCTTCTGGAGCAGCTGTGCATTTTCCTCAATAACCGAGTCCTTCTTTTCACACCCATGCCTCTGGGGATTTCCGTGGACCTTTTGGTTTGGAAAAGCGATTCCCAAATCCTGAAATAAGAAGGGGAATTCTGGGGTGAGTACTACAGTACATGCTGTGAATGTTACCTGGGAACAAGGGAGCCCTCTTGTGGAGAAGTTTGAAATGTTTAGACGTCAAAGCTAGGCAATGCAATGATGCAAGGAAGCAGTACAGAAACATGTTAAAAATGCTGTGGAACATGAAGATGAGCTAGTCAGTGGCATTTATGTCCTACAAGAGAGATGCTGTGGAAGGGGGAGATCTGAAGTGTTTGGCTGCAGTCATTGCTTACAAATTGTGTCACAAATTCATACCGAATTTAAACCCAGAGCTCCCGTTGTGCGAAGGAGGTTCAGAGGTGTTCGATTCTGGAGTTGTGGTGTTCTTGGCTACAAGAGAGACATCATTTTTACAAACAAAGTATGTTTGACAGATTAGCACATCCTTTCACGTCTAATCCATCAACAGTATGTACAAATGAGAAAGGAGACTCACTTTTTCTCTTCAGAAACCTCAGGCTCTGCAGAGAGAAAAGCGGAAGAGAGCTGATGGCCCATGCCTTTAAAAATTTCGTTGTAAGCAGTATAAAAAAACAGGTCCTGTCAATCTTTCACACTTATGACAAACTTCTCAGTGAAAAAGACAAGTATGAAATTAACAAAAGATTTTTTTTTCAGTAGCTGAGACATGGAGATATTTTATTCTGAGCCAGCACAGTCCCAGGGTCCATGCTACACATGGCTCTTGTAAATATGGCTATACATTTTGACTTGTATGTATTGCAGACAAAGATGAATGAGGCATAGGTGCAGACAACTTTTGATGTTGCTCCTGGGTTATGAGTCAGAAGACACTAAAACTGAAAACATACACAAGTAATCATACTGAACCAGCTGCTACGTAATGGAGAGTACTAGTCTAGAATGAGCAACAGCTGAGTTTGATCAGCATATTCGGAGATCAAATTGTCACACATTGTTCTCTTTTGCCTTGCGTGTATAAACTATCTTCATGTATTCATATCATTGGTGAACATGATATGAGTAAAGGAACAAGTAATAGGTTTATTCCATGCTGAAAAAAAGAAGAAAGAGAACACAACGTTTCGGCCGTGGAGCCTTCTTCAGGTGTGCACACCTGAAGAAGGCTCCACGGCCGAAACGTTGTGTTCTCTTTCTTCTTTTTTTCAGCATGGAATAAACCTATTACTTGTTCCTTTGCAGCCTACGCATGCTGACGCAGCTACCCACCTATGATATGAGTAAGGCCTTTAGCTATGTAATTTAAGATTAATTAATAATAATTATGTATTAGCTTTTTATATGTTATATTGACCATTTTAACTCCTTGTATTTATACAGTACACTTTATCCCAAAGTGTTTTATGTGGTAGGTGGAGACCTACTACAGCCTCCACCAGCTGCATTGAACTGCAGTCAATCTGCACTAGTATCCCTACTAAACAGTAGGTCAGATGGAGAAATGAGACAATGCTTCACCTATTGAATAGAGGGAGAAATTTAGGTACACCAGACTGTGCAAGGCCAAGCTCTTAGGAAGACTGCCATGGACTTTTTCAGAGCAAAGTAATCAGAACCACAGTTTATTATGTCAGTCGAAGGGGAGCACCTCCTATAGCTCAGTGCCCCCATTCTGGTCATGAACATGGAGATTCTAGAGGGAAGAGAACCACCTGTTGGTCTACCAACACCATATACACCATTTGGCCCAGCTGCACCACGACCCCGAATTGAATGAAGTGGTCTAGAAAATGGATGAAATGGATGGATGTTTGGTTTTCCAGAATAGGTCTCCCATCCCAGAATTAACCTGGCCCAGCATTGCTTGCCTTCAGCGATCATACAATGTCAAGCTAGAGGGCTAGAAAGCTGCTGTTTGATCCCAAGGGAGAGTTCTTACCTCTCTCCATTTCTATCACAGTATTTACCAAAATTGAACTTTAACGTTTTATTTAGAGACTCAAACTGTTATGGTCTCCCTGGCCTTACCTTAGACCGAGAGATACTGGACAGAGATTTGGAGGTGCTCTTGTTTTGGGGCTCCTCCGATGACATGCCAGGTACTGCCAGGGGCCTGCCGTCTGCAGAAGGCATTTCTACGGGTACAGAACCAGAACACAAGCAGACGTTTAACTTGAGAGGTTTGGGAATGCAGGATTTTGGTGAGAGACTCTTCTGTGTATTGGTACCTAACCGAATTGTGAAGAGTGAGTTTCTCACTCACCATTTCCTGGAGGCATGGGGACAGCCTGCACGGTGCTATTGTGCACAGCCGGACACACCACAGACAGAGGTTCTGCAAGAAGACACGCACAGCATGGATAAAACACTGCATTGTGGAGTAATGTTTTCATAGAACTCTAGCTTGATGCCATATTTAGACATTGACAAAACACACAAGTGTTTTGAACAAGTAGTTCAAAAATGATATGTGGTGCTACAATTCCAGTGCCATTATTTATTATTAATATTTATACAATTTATACTTAATATTTTGAGAAAAATTAGAAGCCCGCTGCTTCTCTTTTAAAGCCTAGGAATACCTCAGACAGAGCTTACTAACTTATAATTAGTAGGCATAATACAGTTCATTGAAACACAGGCATGTTAGGTCAGGTTTTCCAATCTTGGTCCTTTTGGCTGCTGTGACTGCAGGCTTTCTATGTCTCTTTAAAACAGCAGCACCTGTACAGCTGGGAGAAGTTGTAAAATGGTTACAGGTAAGCCTGTATCTAGCTGTTTTAAGTGGAATATAAATCTGCAGGCATGCTGGTCCTCTTAAGACCAACCCTGAAGTGTAGGTGTACTAAGGCTTCACCCTTTTCTAGTAATTAAAACACCTCACAGTTTCTTAGCCAGGAAAGGTCTTGGCTGTCCTCTGCTGGAATATCAAGTTATTGCTTTTTTAAGTCGAATATTGTGTTAAGGCATCTGAAGCCATACAAGACCTTAACAAGCAAAAAGTAAATTACTTACCAAGTTTTGAACTTTTACCTTTAACGCTCTGAAAGAGAGGCAGTTTGAAAGACATGAGTGTATTTTGAATGAGAAAAAAACAAGGGATATTATTTTTCTTTGATGCTGGGACATGTGCTACAAAATATCAACAAATATATTTTTTTAAATGACATCTGTTCTTATGCACTATTTATATATATCTAACATAATATTAAATATATTGGACACAGTATTATGCCCTAGGTTCACAAAGCCATTTAGTCCAGTTCTTCCTGTTATATTCTTATTTTTTCTTATTTTTACAAGGGCAAAATGAATAGAGATAGAAAAGTTGGCCGTGGCTGTCTTTCAGAGTCAGGACAGTAAAACAAAGTATATGCTCAACACTGAGAACTGACCTTGCCTTAGGGCAGGCAGGTCAGTTTTGTTAATGAAGTTTTATCATCTCTAAATTTATAATATAATAAATCGCCAGCAGCCATATCGCTCTGCAACTCACAACTGGCAACCCACTGAAGTTATGCGGGTGTGAGCCTGGTCAGTACCTGGATGGGAGCCCTCCTGGGAAAAACTAAGGTTGTTGCTGGAAGAGGTGTTAGTGGGGCCAGCAGGGGGTGCTCACCCTGCGGTCCATGTGGGTCCTAATGCCCCAGTTTAGTGACGGGGACACTATACTGTGAATAGGCGCCATCCTTCGGATGAGACATAAAACTGAGGTCCTGACTCTCTGTGGTCATTAAAAATCCCAGGGTGTTTCTCGAAAAGAGTAGGGGTGTAACCCTGGCTTCCTGGCCAAATTTCCCATTGGCCCTTACCAATCATGGCCTCCTAATAATCCCTCTCTATGAATTGGCTTCATTACTCTGCTCTCCTCCCCACTGATAGCTGATGTGTGGTGAGCGTTCTGGCGCACTATGGCTGCCGTCGCATCATCCAGGTGGATGCTGCACATTGGTGGTGGTGGATGGGACTCCCCATTACCTGTAAAGAGCTTTGAGTGGAGTGTCCAGAAAAGCGCTATATAAGTGTAGGCAATTATTGTTATTATTATTAAATTTAGATTTTTTCCCATAATGATTTAATTACATGAAAGGTCTTTCCAGCTTCTGTTCAACAACGTGAAGTAAGAAGCACCTGAAGTAGATGAGGATGTTGCTAATTCTAATAATACATTTTTAATAAACACAAAGCTTTGTACAACAACACACTGAACAGAAGAAAAAAACAAAACAAACAGAAAAACACTGTGAGTAGACACAATAAAACCAAGAGTAAAATTAAACTAATCATTAGATGCCTGGCAAATAAACAGTTCTTTAAGCAAGTTTTAAAAATGTCAACAATTTCCATTTCTAACGGATTAGGACACCGACAAAAGATCTTAGAAGAGTGATCTGCCATGGCAGATGATGATGAAAAGGAATCGTGCTTACCTTGCTACGAATCTTCATTGTCTCTAGCAGTTTCTTTGGCTGAGAGTTTCCACACCACTCCGAGGAGGTTCCGATTTTCTGAACTTGTATGGCAGGCTGTAGCTGAGAGGAATCTAACACAGGGAACAGCATCTCACCTGCTGTTAATGGTGCTATAAATGTCGGGAAAAGCAGTGAGGCTTGTATGAGAGAGTTGTATGTAGCCTAACAGCAATGAACAAGGCAAACTCTGTAAGGTTTTTAATAATAGTCTTTGGTATTGAAAGGGAAAATTAAGAGGATAGAAGGTCTGGTGTCTTAATCTAGGTTCCTGGTTCTTACACTGGCTCACTGTACTGTTGTATCCAGCACTGAAAGAGCGGTTATTACAGTATATGTAACTCATTATGTTAGTCAATGTGGATCAAGGAGACCAATCATCATTTTCAGTCTGGGTTTAGGACCCTCCAATTGCAAGAGCTCAAAAGAGACAGGCTGGCTTTCAAAACGTTTTGTGAAGAATTATATTATCATTTGCATTAGAGTTCGCTGAATTGCTCTCAGTTTTTTGGACCACGCAGTTTTTAACCCGTGTGGAACTGTTCAGTGTAATTTTTGACATGTGATATTGAAAGCCTGTTTGGAGTTTGTATGTTATCTCAGTGATCGTGTGGGTTTTCTCCAGTGCTCCAGTTTCCTCCCACAGCCCAGATTGCTCTTGGATATTGGTAGGTTAATTGGATGGACAGATATTGGAAGCTGAACCTGATGCTGTGTGAAGGAGAAGAATTGAGTCATCTGTATGAGGTGCAAACTCTGTAGAGTTCAGTTCAGTTTGTCATATGCACAAGTGCAATGAAATGCGTATTTGTACATATGCTCCAATACAAAGAATACAAAGACATTAAGAGAATGTCATTAAGCATTAACATTAAGACATTAAGCGAAAGAGTACAAAGACATTAAGTGAGATCAATACCTTTGTAAAACCACAGCGTAAATAATAGTGACATCAAGACTTCCTGTGGCTGGAAAGTTGCTGGTTCGTATCCCGTGACTGGCAGAGGAATCCTACTCTGTTGGGCCCCCGAGTAAGGCCCTTAACCCCAACTGCTCCAGGGGTGCCGTATAAATGGCTGACCCTGCGCTCTGACCCCAAGCTTCTCTCCCTGTCTGTGTGTCTCATGAAGAGCAAGTTGGGGGTATGCGAAAAAATACAAATTCCTAATACAAGAAATTGTATATGGCCAATAAAGTGATCTTATCTCATCTAAGACAAGAGCTCGACCAAGCATGAAGCCTTGTTATACTGCATGATACATACAAGCCATAGGAAACAGCAGAAAAACATTCACAGGAAAAATATTTTAAACAGCTGAAGTTCAAAGTGCCATAGTGAAAGTCACCCACCCTGTTCCAAAGCGAGAACAAAGGACTCAGGAGTTCGGTCTGGGAGGGGAGGACCGACAGATGATGGGGATTCTGGACAAAAAGGCAGGTTTATCAGAAAAGACGGGGGAACGGAAACAGCAGTTCATCTCCAGAATATCCTTCAAAGCCCCTGCACTGCCACCCTGTATACTCAGCACTTCCTGAGACATTCTGGCATCTGCCGGCGCTTTGTTTTTCTGACATTAATATTACAGAGATACTGTAGGAGATGCATAAAAGAGTTTAATTTGGAGGAGAAAAATAGCACTTATATAAATACAATTATATTTAATTAGGACAAAATAGCTCATTTCCTTTTTGGGGAAAACGTCTGCTCTGTAGTAGACGTATCAGATGGCAGTTTGCCTGTGGTGTCTCCGATGAGACCCATTCATTCACGCTGCCGCTGGCTGCAGGACAGGTATATTTACTGGACCTCTCCTATTAACACACAATACTTACCTGCCACTGCTGGGGCAGGAGCAGGGGGAGCAGGCTGCACGGGGACAAGTGTAGGTATGGAGGCAGAGGGAGCCACTGGAACAGCACAGAGAAGACAGTGGTCAGTGACTGGACCGTCCCCAGAGGCTAATTCCTCAGACCGTACAGATTGAGATCCAAGCATGTTTTAGTTTTTAGAAGAAACCACAGAACTCAGCTCAAGCTTCAACATGAGCTTCAACATGATTACATATTTCTATATGTAACAGTACATATTAAAATTGTGTATTTTCTACATATATTAATGAAAGAGAAAACCAATACCTATACATGGTACTGAAAGCTGTTTCTTTAAAGTTTAAAAAGAAGAATGATTTTTAATAAACTTACCAAATAATGAAAATCTTGCTTTTAAGCTCTGGAAAAAATAATAGGTAAACTTAATTATTTAGCCTTGAGGGATAAGCCTGCAGTGGTATATTGCCTATAGTGGTATGTCTATTAGCATTATAGAGCAAGGACTCTGTGGGTATCACTATCACTTCCAGTCGTAGAAGAATCATCTTTACCACAGAGTAGAAGAATAATCATCTCCGCCATACTGACTGCAATTTGAGGGCAATCACTGGTACCTATTGCCCTTACCACACAGAAAATCACACAATCTTACCTAAGATGAAATATTGCTGTGCTTGTTCATTTCTTTCTGTTTTAGGTGATATTTTTCCACTGAACTGTACAGATCTGACTGAATCTTGAGCTTAAAACACAGATTAAAATATCCTTCTCAGCGGAGGCCACTTAAGACAACATGTATATTTCCAATTTTTGTCGTTTTATAATCCACAACAGGGGTAGGTCATGAGATACTTATGATAAAGATTTACTTTGCTCCGTCTCCATGATTTGCTGGATTCTGAGACGTCCTTTTGTTCGGAGTTCCCACACCATTCCAGAGACGTGCCCACTTTTAGATTATGTGTGGGAGGCTGGGTCTGGGACTCTGCCTTTGCAAAATCTGCAGAAAAGACAGATGTTTGGAGTCTGTCTGCCAGTGTCTGCTATGGAAACAGCCATACAGCTGATTCTTAGAGCACAGTATGACAAGAAACCTGAAGTGAAAACAAGGTTCCACACTAAGCAAGATTCTGAAAAGCCTATCATTTACCAGTCTTAAAGTACAGAAGCAAAACTATTTTAAATTTTCTGTTCCCTATCTTGTTTCGATGGCTTTATGCTTTAGATTTCTGCTTTGGTGTGAGTGATAGTTGATTTTCTCAGGTGAGATACCTGCTTGTGGCCAATAGTGACTTCTGTCATAACATGTTTAGTAGCCTGTGTGGAAGAAGGCCAATCAAATTACTGACACTTTTCCAGAAGGAGTTTATGTGCATAAATAGATACTGTGTAACTCACAAAACAAGCACAGATGGCCAAGTCAACATTTATCTTCCACAAGTTTTTTATAGTGTGCCCTGATCCCAGTGCTGCTCTGTACTCACCCTCTTCACTGGCCAAGATGAAGGACTCAGGAGTTCTCTCAGGCAAGGGGGGCACAGGCGAGGGGGGAGATCCTTCTGTAACACAAACCAGCAAACCCTCAGTTCATACTGTGAGTCCACTCTATCACAAATCCTCAATGCACATTGTAAATCTGTGGCTCACATGAGCACATCAGTGAATCAATCGATGTAATCTGCAAATGTAATCGTATGATTCACCTTCAAGAGGAAGTGCCAAGAGCATACTAAAACAGAAGTTATGTTGCACATGTTGATGTTATACTCTAAGAGATGAAGAGTTGCACAGCACTTGATGGAGTCATATTCAGTCCCACACACCATTGCCTTCACCACAAGCTGGGCTAAAGGTTGAGCTTATTAACTAACTGGAACTAACCAAACGAGATGAGATGGAGCTGCAGTACATACTATACTGGACTGTTCTTGCTGTGGGGCAACACACAGAGTGCACACCATATTTGATATGGTTTCCTAATATCTTGGCCAGAGGTCGTACATCTACTTAAAATTCCTTAAAGTACATTGCATTCCTTACCCTGACCTGTTCAGGCAGTCATACTCCTGGTTCTCATCACATGTCCAGATGAGATCACTTTCTACATTTCTAAAATGCCACCCGCTAGATCGGTTGTGATTGGCATGCTTTTCATGACAAACCCTGTCATTTCTGCAAAGAGCAGAACTAGAGCTATCCAGTAGACATTTTGCAATCAACATTTGTTGTGATGGTTTCTGTAAAGATGGATCTTATCAAAACATTAGATAAATATCTCATATGATACACATATTTAGCAAGTGTAGATTTCCTGATTCTCAAACCAGACTCCATCTTAAAATAAAAAATAATCTTACAAATAGGAGGAGACCACTTCATCCAACTTGCTCTTTGTGTTACTAGAAGCTATTAGATCCATGGATCTTATTCAGGTCTTCCTCGAAGGAATCCTGGGCAATGTCTACAACATAGGTGGGTAGTCTGATCCTCATAGCTCTTTGTGTAAAGACTTTTCTGTTTCCAATTTTAAGTGTACTTCCTCTTAGGTTCCCTTTTGTCCACTGGCTCATGTTTCCCAGTTTTGATGAAGTCCTATGGGTGGATATTGTCAGTATATTTATGGAATTTTAAATGCTTGGATCAAGCCATTGTTCTGTCCTCTGTTCAAGACTAAAAGTGATTCAGCAATGGTAAATAAGAAATTTGAGATTTGTCACAGCTACTGTATGTTTACAAGTTTCTACTTTGGAAAATTTGAGAAGGTAGCTGCGTCAGCATGCGTAGGCTGCAACAGGAACAGCAAAGGTTCATCCATGCTGAAAGGAAAAGAAAAGAGACACAACGTTTTGACTGTGGAGCCTTTTCCTTCACACTTGAATAAGGCTAAAATGTTGTGTCACTTTTCAGTTCCTTTCAGCATAGAATAAACCTTTACCTGTTACTTTGGAAAATGCCTTGAAAAGGAATCATTCACAAGTACCAAGCACTTCCCAGTAATTTTGTCTATTTGGAATACCTTCCAGCTTTTCTTTGGCAGTTGGGCCATATTGAAATGCACCAAATCAAGTGGAAAAATGTATTTAAGTTATAATACTTAATCTTCATGTTAACCTTGTCTAATGTCTGATGTCTGATTTTTATTCAGTTATGCAGCACTTTGTGACATTCTTATAAAATGCATGATATAAAATAAGAAATATTCTAGACTTCTATTAGGATTTCTGTAGGTCAAAACCATTTACTGAATCTGCCAATCTTGACTTACTGGTTTCATTGGAGTCATTGTCAGGACCTAGCAAGCTGCTTGCTTCAAAGATGTCATCAGTTCTGTAGATCAGTTCAGTTCTGGGATGTTCTGCATCTTCAGAAAATAAAATATAAAATTGCAATACACAAACATATTGGTGCAAAAATGGTTCAGTATACACAGAGGCTGATTATGCTGATGCCAATACATGAGTAGCAATGACACAGAGACACTACCATTGTGAAAAGACACCAACTGCAAGGCCTTGGGCGTCATTTAGGGCCTGAAGCAGATAGTTATACACAAAGCTTATATTTATACCAAGGGGGCAGAAGTACCAGTAAAATTAAGTGCTGAATGCCAAGACTGTATATACAGTAGCGCCTCTGAGGTTCCACACTGTTGTAAATCGCAGGATATGGGGAACAATTTGTTCATATAGGTATCAGTTCTGTTCAGTGCTGTTAAATGCTGTGTGTAGCTAGCCTGGGTGCAACACAGATCTGCTTGTTTAGTGCTCATGGAGCAGGGTGGACTCACCTGGCTCACTGGGTGCACAAGGATCGCTGGGAGCACTGGCCAGGATGAAGGATTCTGGGGTTCTTGCTGGCAGAGGTGGGGGCGACTCGTCATCTGAGAATGGTGACATTGAAAATGCTGGGAGACAGATACCACATAGGAAAGGGCTTCAAATACAGCCAAGAGTCAACGTCCAAGAGCTGCTTCTGTCTTTAGTTGTTGGCATATTGAAACGATAAGAAAAGTAACAAACGAGAAGAGACCATTTGGCCTATCTTGATTGGCACCTAGTAGCTATTAAGAGATTCCATATCACCAACTTCAACAATAGGGTTAGGTAATTTGTTTTGGACTCCCATACCTCTTTCCATAAAAGAAGTGTCTCTAGCTATCTAGTGATTTTACACTTAATTTCTATTTGAGTCTCTCTTAAGTTTCCTTCTTAAGAGGAAATGATGAACTTTGTACTGCGGTTTCTTATGTTAAAAATGCATACTTTGGTACTTTGAAACATTTAATGAATGCAATGACTGGGAAACAGATTGACAGCAGGCACTGACTAAGAATTACTTGCTAAGATTTGCTCCTCAATTCTAGTCTGATAATTCTGGGCACAAAGTTATACAATGGAACATACTATAAGTCACTGAAAACCACCCTATCAATCCTGTCAAGATAATTAGAAAGTTAATGTCTAAAACAGTATTAAATGCTGTGTGCTCACCATTTCCTGTGCCGCTGAGCTCACAGTCGTTTAGCATGAGCCTGGGTGTGTTGTAACAGGGGTTGCTGGTCCACTGGCTGTCAACCGTTGGCATCACCACACTGATCCTTCCATTGGCCTCACAGAGCTTCTCCAGAGACTCACAACTCTCCAGTGTGCCAAGAGAGTCCCGGGGAGAATTAGAAGTGAAGTAAGGATCTTCCACAGAGTAATGGAAGCCCTCAGAAACGGCTCTTAGGGGGAGGTCTGTTTCCGGGTCTAGGTTCGTGTTTGTCTCCAGAAGTTCCCAGTCTGACTTCACACTTTCTTGCCAGCTACCCAGAGATCTGCCTATGTCCTCCTGTTGGTGGCCACAGCTCATCTCCCTCTGTCTCTCTGTGAGCTCTGCCTTTGGCTCCTCTACCCAAGAGGGTTGGTTTGATTTGCTGAGGCATAATAGTGGTTTCCTCAGGCCCCTGGGGCTGGACTCAGGTGTCCACATGCTGCTGAAGTCCAGGCTGCGGTGTTTGGCCACTCTGTCCTCCAGGCTTCTCTGTGGAAATTGTTGTTGTCTGTGCCTCACTTGTGTCACCTCATTGACAAGGGGGTGCCTGTCTGGATGGGGGGGCTCATACCATCCTGTAACAGAGAGGCCATGTCCGTCTCCTGTAAGCTGCAGGTAGGGTTGGAGTGAGGAAGAAGTTTCCGGAACCATGAGATCATGTTGTTCCATTGGACTCTCCTGTCCTGTTTGCCTGAGGAACATGAATAAAAATCAGTGGAATCAAAGTCCAGCTGGGACCAACCCTTTTCTTTTTCATTTGCACGAACAGCTGTTGAAGGGCTTCATTGTGTTCTTTAATTTTTTGTCAATAACAAAGTTGTTTCTCTGCTATTTAAATTACAATATTGCATTTACTTTTGGCATTTTGTACCTTTGGGGATTCAAAATGTTATTCATTTTAATTTCCAAATTTTATATCACTATGACAAATTAAGGAGAGATACGGTTTTAGGATACTTAGTTCTGGAATAGGTCTGGTCACACAGTCGATCAACCAGTCATTTGAAGATTATAGCTCTGGCAGCATCATGCCAGACATGCCTAGAGTGGAACTTTACGAGGACACTGGAGTTACCTCCTGCTCTTACAAACAGTGCTGCAGAAATCCTTAATGTCCAAATATTCGGGATCTTGATTTAATGTTTCAAAAAAAGTTGTCTGATTAATTGTCCCCTCTCACCATACAGTGTCATTGTAATTTTGTTTGGTTGAGGGATCATTGCCTAGTTTTTCTTGGAGGTCTCCCATCCCAGTACTAACCAGGCCCAGTCTTTTTTAGCTTCTCTAATCAGGCTACAAGGTGGTAGTGCTGCTGTTGTTTTTGCAGCTGACAGCAGAGTTAAAGTTCTGTTTTAGTCCTCTAGGTGAGTTCGAACAGAGCCACGTCTGGCCCTCACCTGGGTTTCTCTTCATGCTCTGAGATGTCACTAATGTCTGAGAACTCACTGTCACTGTCCACCTCAATGGGGGAGGGAGCATCTGGAACCTGCAGGGCACAGAGAGAGGCTATGAGAAGCCCGGGACTAGGATGGGTTCAATGAGTAAATTGAAGTACACTTACCTAAGGTCAAACACAGCAGGGCAGAATGTGAAACAAAATAATTTCCATCTGCACATACACAACCTTACCTGACAAAATAAGAGGTTTTGACAAATGGGATGCAACCCACCATCAAGCACAAAACTGAGCAAGCACAAACACCTCCACAGGCTCCATGAGCCATGGAAAAAAGTAATCCGACTGTTCCTCTGGATTCCTTTTTAATTGTCATTTGCATTTACTAATTTTGTGAGCTAAAACATATTTCGTGTGTTACTAATAATAATGTAACAAGTTTAAAAATAATACAATAAGGAGTTGAATCACTTTTTTCTCAGAAAAGGGACACGACAAGGGGACTTGACAGAAGTAATTAAAGTCATGATAATGTGGTAACAAAGTCTACTCTGAGAACTACATTAGGACCAGCAGTGGAACAAAGATCCAAGAACCTAACTGGAGAATAAATGGGAGTGTATTATAGACTGGAAACACTTTATATAATGAATGATAAAGCCAAATGCTTTATATAATGGATCAAGGGAGGCTGGAATGAGCTACCTAGTCATAAGCTTGAAGCTGATCTGGAATCCTTTAAGAGTCTTTTGGGTGAGATACTTGTTTCAATAAGCTGTAAAGCTGTATCGCTATAAACAGGCTGTTAAGTCTCACAACACAGTTTGGAGTAGTTTTGTAATAGGTTTATTACAAAGACTGTCTGGAGGGTTAAAGGGGAAGTCTGTTTCCTTAGAACATTAAGTCTTCAGCCCTCAACAGTGACTTTCCTGTTATAAATGACTATAGACTACGTAACTGCAATAATCTTCTGTGCTGGCATATACAGGATAACGTGGTGTGTTAAACAAATAGGCATATTCATATTCAGAAAACTTATAAATTTAAAAACCAGCAGACAAAACCAGCAACACGTCACAAAAGATACAGCAGTCAGACATTTCTTAGTCATTTTAAATAAATACAGTATCTTTCACTGCCACAGAGTCAGAACAGGAAGCCTGCCTGCTTTCATTAAGGAAAGACAAGTTAAGTCTAATTAACCTCTACACAGTTAACATCCAAATGAGTCTTACAATCTTATGTTTTGTATTAGTAGTAGTGGTTAATTAATAACAAGCCAAAATCCGAGTCTTGTTTTTTATGTTTCACTGTGTGGCATTGTTAAGTTTATTTTTGAAAAATATGTGTGTCACTGGCATGTAATGTTTGTGAAGTCTAGCTCATTTACTGTCTCTGAGAAGTAGGTTTTGACCACATAGCCAATGAAGCCACCTGTCCACACATACCTTCCTTTTTGGATAGTTTAGTGCCTCTTTGTTGATACATTTCAGCAATTATTTTCCTTCATAATATTTTTGGTAACTTACAAATAGTAATAGCAACTTTGGTATTAATTCCAATCCTTTGTATCAAACACTTTTAAAAACAGTGGTGTGCTCTGCCTTTAATGCATGCAGTCTTAGAACAAAACAATCATACACATTTAGGTGCTAAGGTGCTCACCAAAAAACAATAAAAAATAAACTTTTCTGATACAGTGAGATTATCTGTGAGTGGCAGGTGTCTGCAGTGCACACTTGAGATGAACAGAGTGTGAGGATACATACAATGAATGAAAAGGCACTGACAAAGGAAACCAAATATTGGCATGACAAAGCTGAAGACCTGTATGAGCTCCATCTCTAAGTTCTTCAAAACATCCCGAGCGGGCGAATTTCCGAACAAGGCAAATAAGGGCACGTATTCTTGAAATACCTGTTCAGTCTCTTTCTGATTTAGGGGAACTTGGTAATTAAATTTCCTGCCCCTCACCCAACAAACACACACATACGCATATGCCTCATTCTCTCGACAAAGGTTTTTGAGAACGTGGTGAATCTGTTTCCAGGAGAAGGGGAGAGAGCTGGTATAATGCAACTCACTAGGCAGGCCTGGACTACAGCACTGACTGGATCAATAGACACCACATCAGTGACAGCACAGTGACAGGTCAGTGCACTGTCTTTATCCTAAATCTAAGGTCTGTAAGATTGACCTGTCACACTTGAAATCATGTAACTTCATTGCAGAAGATTGTGAATTCAGTTTCAGATTTTCAGATCTTTGAGTCATATACAGTGCCTTGCGAAAGTATTCGGCCCCCTTGAACTTTTCAACCTTTTGCCACATTTCAGGCTTCAAACATAAAGATATAAATTTTTTATTTTAT